CCTGTGCTGCCATTGCTTCCCTGCTGGGCAGCCTAGAGGTAGTGGAGCAGGGCGTAGGCTCCAAAACTACACATACAGTTAACGCATTTTAAAAACTAAAGAACTGATTAACGCATGAATCGTGCACACGAACTGCAATTGACAGGCCTAGTAAAGACTGATATATCAAAACAAACTAAACAGTTTATGGTAGAGACCTAACCATGAAAAAAAAGTGAGAATTGCTGAAATAAGATTTTTAACCAACTTACTTAAAACCTGGTTAACTCAAATACCTGACCAACCAACCAACCATTCTCAGGCTACCTTTCATAGTTTCATAGTTGGTAGGGTCGGAAGGGACCAGAGCAGATCATCATGTCCAACGCACTGCCACGGCAGGGAAGAGTACTAGGGTCAAACGACCCCGGCAAGGTGTTCATCCAGCCTGCTCTTAAAGACCCCCAGGGTAGAAGCCAACACCACTTCTCTTGGAAGTGAATCTGTCTGCCTACATATCTTTCAATAAAGTACACAGGAAAGTCCCAGTCTATGTTCTCTAGTTCAAGGACACCTTTAACAAAAGCAAATAACTTTGTTTTCATTTGTGAGAGGCAAGGATTTCTTAGGGTGATCTCTTTTATTGGACCAACTATGTAGTTATGATAGTTATACAAGCTTTCTAATGCAAGACATTCTTCATCATTTCTGACCAGAACAAGTGTGTTATGAAGGCAGGAAGGAAAGAAAAAAAAAGAGGGCTTGCAAACATATATAGAAGTAGTAGGAAGAAAAGAGGAGCCTCCTTTGCAAGTCACTTAAGGCCCGTAGCTTTGCTTCTTGAAGAATTGCATAGTTTAGATTCATAAATTTACCCACTACTGATGCTGTAATTATGTTGCTGAAGCATAGGTAGTAGGCTGTCCCTTTACTGAGGCACATGAAAAAAACCCCTTAAACCATGAGCTGTTTTTGGATATACTATAAAAAAATGAAAATAATTTAATTGATTTCAGAATTCATACTGATCTAGAATACTCAAATAAACAGCAGCGTCCTTTAAAGTCTTCACTTATCCAAAATAATTAAGTAGAGAAAGTAAGTATGAACTCAAAACTTCCACAGGAATCATCTGAAACCCTGGGAGACTGACACACAGGATTTCTGCTATCTAGAGGCATGGAGTTTCAAGTAAATAAGACACACTACAAGAAACTGTATTTGTTGTATTGGTTGATAGTATATTTACTTTGTACTAGCAAATTCTAAATCGGGCCTTATACAAACATCATTCATTAGTCATTATCAGATAAAAGAACCTGAAGTGCTTTCACCACATAAGAAACAGAAATCCACAGAATAAAAATAAATAAATTGCATCACCATGTTAGTCAGACCTCCCAAATGATTCCATACACTCAGGATTTTAATAACTGGACAGCTAGTCAATCAGTGAATGCTACACTCTTACAACAGATATTTTAAAATAAAGTCCATGGGACAGGTACAAACACCCTGTAACAAAAAAGTATTTAAAATATTTTTAGGAATGTAAACTTCAAGTTTGATTATTTAAAAAAAATCAGCCATTTACAATGATCTAACTGACCATAAGTTACTGTTCCACCATGTTCTGTTCCCATTTAGCACAAATTAAAACTTTGAAGTAAATTACAGTATTTTAAAATAGCAAGCCGCTTTTTCAGCTCTTAAGCACACTATATAAAATAAATTCCCCAATTAACCTACATCTCCACAATACTTTATATAGCTGATTTTTTATATTGCATCATGATTTATTGTCTCCTAAAGTGATTAAAAAGAACTGAAATCCCATAATAAATTAGTGATGCCCTAGAAAACAGCCAACTGCTGAAACCGTTTCATCCCAGGGATGAATTTTAAGTAATCCATTTACAGGGTACATTCTACTGGCTCTCATTAACAAATGTGTAAACAATGCCAAAGTAACTTTATAACATGCTGATAGTTGAATCCACTTCAGTGTCTCCAGTTGTGACCTCTTAGGAATAAGTAGTACATTAAGATACCAATAATATAATCATGACTTGACATTTCAGATACAGAACAAGAGTTCAGTCATGAACCTGTAAGCCAAAGCAAAGAGCGCTCTTGCATCAAGAACATTTAAAAACGTTAGAAGTTCAAACAAATGATGTGCAATAAATCTCAGCCTTAAGTCAGTAAGATGAACTAGACATAATGGTATATTATCATAGGATTTTCAAATGGAAAATGTTCTATTGGAACATTTATTCTACTTTAATATTAAAGTTTGAATATTTGATACCATTTCAGTTAACTTATACCGAAGATTATGATCAGTAATATACACCTAATTTTCACTGAAAGAATTAAGGTAGTGACTTATGTCAGAATACTATTTAGAGTTTAGCACCCTCTTTCCCACAATTCGAGATGCAAAAGTGATAGCTTAGTTCACTAAACAAGGGTTTCCATCCTGCAAGATGCTGTATAATCTCAGCTCCCACAAGCTTGATGTGAATAAACTGTGAAACTACAGTGGAACTCAATAATACTTAGTTTTCCATACGCTTGCAAAAATCAAAGGTGACTAGCTTGATCTGCTTGAGTGCTAATTAAAAAAATATTTTGAAGCAACAAGATACAAAAAGGTGTATCTTAACCTAAAATGAAAAAAGTGCATGATGGGTAAAAAAAACCAACAACATATAACAGATACCAAAATGTTCTCACGCTGCCCAGCTAGTAAGCCCATGTACCCTTTCGAATTTCTTCTAGAAAGGATGTACCGAAACAAATACGTTTAAGTTTATGTGGCCTTTTAAATGTTGAATTCTTGGCTAAAACTGCTACAAGTGCCAATTTTGTAAGTGAAACAGCAGTACTTACCTACTAGTAGTCCCATTTGCTCTACAACTCATTTTGAAAATCATAGAGAAATATATTATGGATGGCAAAGGATAACAACTTCTGGTCTCTACCTGCTAAAATTAGATCCAGACTACAGACATAGATCTATCTACCGAAATATTCTGTTCCCTGGATATTATGGGAAGAAGCCTACCTATCTATTTGGTGCCATAAAAATATCTGCAACAATTGAGACACATAATAGTACCCAAATAAAATATGCTTCACTTCCCATATTTCCCATTTTCTATCATGCTACTTGAAATCTGGGCAGAACTGTAATCATAGTTTTTAGTGGTTTTGAGAATATTAAATAGTCTTAATAGGACACTTTTTTCTATCTGCCACTTAATTGACATATTTGGAACATTTCCAAGTTAAATGTGTGACAACACAACAGCACTGGTAGATAACAACTAAAAGAACGAAACCTCCACTGAAGGAGGACAAGTTATTATTCTTCCTTACATAAGAAAAAATAAATACATTACTTTTTTTGCTATTGATTTTTGTTTTAATTTTTATTTTGAAAAATAGTTAAAAAGCTGATCTGATGTATCAACTAATTCAAATGACATTTTTAATTAAGTCACCTTGGCACATGATAGAAAGTATAATACAAAATTGCAAAATGAATGTCAACCGTTACATGTCTGTGTATTTAACATATATGAGCTTGTCCATATCCCAGCATTAGCCAAGAATATCTAGACCCAAGTACCGCTTATCTAACCACACCTATAGATGTACTCTAAACCTAGATGTATGCAGGTAGGCTGCTCCCAGTTCATTCTCAGCAGCTGCTTTCAAGCACACCAGAGACTGAGGACATTCACATTTTTTTCTAAAAGCAAGCAGAAAATTGTCTATGTATAGTTAATGCAACTATATTAAGTAAATGGGTCGTAACGGTACATTGTTAGAGGTACTCAGAACTCAGATATGAAACACATAGTAATGCCAGTATAAATCTTCTGTCCATAACTAACAACTGTATCCACATCTTACAAAAGCCTGCAGTGTTCTATTCTCACTTGTTTAGTGGATAGGACTGAATTTAGTCAAATAACTAATTTTGGAAAAATTGGAATACTTTACATGAAACCTGTGCTTTTATATTCAAGTGGGTTGGCTTGGTTTTCCTATTCTGATATCTTAAAAAAGCTTAAAAAGATACAGAAAATGTGCTACTCCTACATTGGACCAATACATTTCAGCAAGAAGCAACTGGAATTCAGAACTCTACCTATATCTCAGTTCTGGGTTACTATGTGCTCAGATGACAAATCTAATCCACTCATTGGCATCCAGTCCAGTGCAACCTTTTTTTTTTTTTTTTTTTTTTT